AAACACTTCTGATCTGGCAGTTGGTAACTCAATTACCACCTTCCGGGCGACTGGAAGCCTCCTTTTACTCTCGAATCCTTGCCTCTGCCCTGTCGAGTCCTATATCTGGGTTATTGGCCATCCTGTTGTGGACAAAATGGATTATAAACGAGTTTGGGCAGCCTCATGATGTGCAAAACGCATTGAAACAGTGCTCGAAATAACTGCGGAGGACCCTCGTTTTTAGATGATTCACTTAACGTCAGATGCAATTTATGAAGGTGAGTAATGGATTGTCGCTCTACGGACAACAAGACTACTTACCTGTCCTTCACCAGACGTTTTTGCCTAAACACAGTTTTGTTTCGCAAAATAAATCAGACAATTTTGTCAGAACAAATTAAATTGAATTCCCTTGTTTCGTATCAATTTAACTTTCCCTTCCGTGTAGAGCTTTCTCGCGCGAATATTTTTTCTTAAGTAATTACATTAACATCAGTGCGCTTGTATACTGGCTTTTATCGTCAGGAAAGTACAAATATCAAACAGTTGATTGGTTGCCTCTCCAGGAGAATAAATGGGACATCTAGAGAATACTTTCTGTATAACAGTACGCGTCTGCCTAATAAACCCATTTTCTCTACATTCGTATCACCGAATTCGATAGGACACTTTGGCAACCATTTATGTACTATTATCAACCAATAATCTCAGGAAATGTTAATCGAAATTCAAAATGGGGTTTCGGTTAGGAAAGGTCGTTTACTGATTGTCTTGCAGTGCAATCCCGAGACATTTCAGACAGGCTTGGATGACAGCTTTTTAATGCACTTCTTTTCGGCATCGAGAAAAATGACTATTTGGGTAGTGTGCATTTTTATATTGATTTTCGATGTCCTTGCAAATTCAAGCATATTTCTTAGAAAACACGGCCAAGAATGTTCTTGCCTTGCACTTAGTTGGTAGAAAACTGCGTCTTCTATCGAGTTCTATCTGTCATTGTATTGGCGTTAAGCGTTTAGAGTTAAGCTGTATAGCCCCATAGGGCTTCCAAAATTATTTTCTGGATGTGGACTGCGTTTAAAACTTCCTAAGGAGTGTAAATAAATCGACAACTATGGCGCTATTTGAAGTGGCATTGCACGGTCTTAAGAAACCTATAATGGCCATCTTTTTAAGGCCGAAACTAGTCCATTGGTCGAGTATGAAAATTGGAAGGAGACGCTATTGGCTACCAAATCAGTCCAACGGCGGATATCCTTATGCATGTTTTCTATAAAGTACATTTAAATTTATAGGAATATCAAAAATCAATGCAACAATGCATGCTACTTAAATGTATTTTTTTCCGAAAGCACTTTTTACCGACGACCGAAGAAAAATGCAGTATTCAAAAACCACCATCGTCGCATGTCAAAACTACCCTCAGTTTATGCCGCACGATAATAACTGTGCCAATGCCTCCAATTTTGCAATTCTTTTATCATCAAAAACCTACCTCGGCATTTTTGCGAACATTTAACTGACTGCGTTTACATTTTAACCCACCTTTAAAGAGTACTCCTGGGTTAAAGAATATGAATGTCCGAATGATACAGTGGGCACGCCGATTCTGCTACTTAGATGCGTTGTTTTTTTCGGCTCCTGGGTTGGATAGTGTGGTCAGCTGTTATGGAAACTGTTTTTGCACAGATAATATCCCCAGAGATGAAGGCCGGCTGCTTTGTCTTCACACGCTAACCTAAACGTCTAGCAGAATGTTCAAAAGTCTTCACACTGTGGTGAACAGTCTGTGGGACAAACCTGCAAAGGGATTAATCAGCCCTGGAAGGTGGAACATCCTGCTCTTCATTTTTTTACGAGACCCAAACCTTGTACTATTCACAGTTTGTGACAATTTGGCCTGATGTTAGTCTAGAAACTTCTGCATTTACAGGCGCAAGTTTGCAATTTTGTTGGTGATTTATGAAGAGTATACAGTGGTCTTCTGCTGCCATTCTCGAAAAAAAAATGTTAAAGCTGTTTACTCTAAAATGCCCTCAGCTTAAGAGCGTAGAACTCACTGCGCTTGCCTGATATCTGCCAATACTGAGATTCCACTTCCGGCGCTCTAAACAGTTATTGATCCCGCTGTACCTTTTTGGCAGCTAACGGAACTCATCTGTCCCGCTCCACCTTGGACCTCGACAGAGGCCCTGACAGCCGTACTAGCTGGATGTAGGCGACAAAGACAAATGAAACTAGAATGGCCATTTCTGGCTTATTAGCCGTCGTCAGCCAGCTGTGCCCAGACTCAAGTGGTGTCCCACCCGAGCTTCGAACTCGCGAACTTTTTGATCTGAATCCAACGCCCTAATCATTGAGCCATGAACTCGTTGTCTAGCAGTTTTGGGTTAGAGTATATTTGTATGGAGTAATGGAGTGCTTTCCGTATTAAAGCTAACGCTGACATCATCCTCTCCGGCCTCCGGTCTTCTTGACTCTGTCTTGACACCGGACACCGGCGGGTGAGGAAGGAGGGAGTGCATTAGATGCAGTGCAAGTCGCCGTCCCTGTGCCACACTTTGTTGTGAGGCACACGGGGAACCTTGTCGAAGCCGATGGTCGGACTGTCGCAGATTACCAACCATTCACCTCCGTCGGTACAATCACTTTCACTCTCTCGGAAATTTAAACTGTCAGTTTTGTGGGGGAAATAATTGTTTGTCATGCTGCACATTTTGTCCTTACTCGCGACAATGTATCCACAATGATAACTAATACTACTACTTCTCCCAAAAAAGCTTTTTGTTATCTATTTCAAAGCCTCTTCTGTTGCTACATCTGCTGTAGGCCGCATTAGCGGAGTTGAGGCCATAGATTGATACTTATCCATATTCATCCAACTGCACAAAACATCCTCCATGCCCTGAACACTGAAAGACAAGAAGTAACAGCTAGGACTCTCATTCCAACCGTACTGTAATGATACTCTAAGTTCCTGATGACATAACCAGAGATAACAGGAATATAATATGCTGGTCTACAATGCAATTTCACGGAAAATGCGTACACCAACAAGTAAGTTGCTAAGTTCTGACTTTGAGCGTTCTATGACAGATAAGCTATTGTTTACTTTTTCTGTCAATGGAATCGCCTTTTTTAGGTTCTACGCAGTTGATGTGACACCAATTTTGAGACTAGCGACTGTAATCGGAAGGCTGCCTTAACTTTGCTTACGCAGTCAGCAATAGCACTGGACAACTAGACTTATATACGCGATAAAAGTGGCAAAACGTTTCCCTCTAGTTAGACTTCTCTGAGGACTCATTTTTATCCGCACAGCATGATGATTTACTGTCCAGCTGGGAGATTTTTGTCCGCAAAAAAAGTTCTCGGAGCATTTTACGCGATAGCATTTGGTTATCTCAGAGCAAATTGAAATAAACAGTGGCTTTGACGCGAACGAAGGCCACACTAGGTGTTTGAAGGAGAGGGGGGAATTTGAAGAACTACCGGTTCTTCAGTCAGCGAGTTATTTTGTTGCCTTTTAGTATTTTTCAACGTAGATCTGTCCAAACTATTCCCCATACATCTAGAATACGCTGAGAACGTCGGTCCAAGAAAGGATGAAATGTGCGTGTTCCATCCTTGATCTTCGTAAAATCTAAAGGTTTTAAATTATTCTACGAACGGCATATTGCATAGTTAATGTAAAAAATGAACTTCCCAGAGGAAGCCAGGAAGTGATTCGTTACAAAGCCAAAAAGGCATAACTTTTACCCCGAGTCATTCTATTTTACCAAGCGACAAAAGCTTCTTGGAGCTAGTAAGAAAGCCTTCATAGCCGCAGAAAATGCCGACTTCCCCAGCCTTTCAGCCTGTGCAGGCATATTTTGCAGCTGGGCAGACCAGCAACAACCCCCAGCAAATGAAATCGGTCAAATAACTCTCTCTCTCTCTCCCGGTAGTTATGTGCCTGCGCGAAAGAGGGTTAAATGACTTTCTAACGGCAGTTGGTTTGCTCTCCTACCTCGCGGAGGTCCTAACTGTGACAGTTGCGCTAACCTCGTTAGCCCTAAAAAAATACCAGGTCGGAGGTGAGAGTGGCCACCAGGCATCTTCACACACCTACGCAGCACCCTATGCGACGCGTTGATGCTGATATTCCCCTACGCTGAGATCTGGTGGTCCAGTTTAACCTGGATATCCTGATGCGATGATTCGTCAGTACAGCACGGTTGATATTGACGCGCGATTTAAAGTGGAGCCTGGGCGCCTGATTGGTGCCCTCTCAGTGGCCTTGAAATAATTAATCCGAAAGGAATTTGACATCGAGTTCGGATTCAAGTCCTGAGCGTCCGCGCAGCTGAGGCTAGAATATGACTTAGCGAGGGTGAAAAAAAGACCAGCGACGGCCAATACAGTCTTCCTTGTTTTTTTCTTC